ACGGTGTTTTCCTCCAAGCAGCTATCATAATAAACATATCATCAACTCCAATTCCTATAAGGAAATATTACAAATACATTACTCAACAATGTTATATATTAATGTTAATAGTTGGTGGCAATGGCGTCAAGTAAAATATAATTCACAATCGAGATAGGGATAGTACCAACTAAGAATTAAAGCTACATAACATTTTTGTTGAGTCTGAAGGATTTGGTCACAAATAGAACATGCGAAATAGCAAGAAATGTTGCTATGAAAAGGATACATGGAAGTTACTATGAAAATAAGACTAATTAGCGTGTACCTCGCACCTCGCGTGCGTTCGCAGAAACTGGTAGGATTATCGTGGAAAAACAAAATAATAGGTTTGACAAACATTGCTGAAAATTGCTACCATTAAAGAGCGTCGGCAATGGGTATTTTCGTAAGCTGTAATCATTTTTTTTATTTTCGTGTTAATGTAATTAATAATGTAATAAGAAACGTGAATTCGTAGACATGAACAAGGTGAAAAATATAATCAGCTATTTTATTCGTCCGTAATTTGTACAAAGATCTTATTTTTTGTAAGTGTATAAAACATTTTCAATATAAATGTCATAATTCGTACGCAATTTCCAATTTTGATCCATAAATACAAATTATCAAGTATATTATAAAAATGTAATTAGGAATTTGCTTTATCTGTAAAGTGTAAGAACAGATTTTTGACTGTAAATAGAACTTTTCTTTTTATTTCCTGTAAAAACGTAAAATGCATTTTTTATTTCCTGTAACTTGCACCAGCTATCTCCTTTGCACCCCCCCACCATTAAAATATTCGGCGCATTTCAATACATCTTAGAAGGTACCAATTTAAATATGGGCGACGACTATTATTGCAACAGCACAACACAACGTATTCGTGTGCATTAATTACATATTCTCTGCCTTGTTATAATACATGATAAGAATATTTATCCTTTGTCCATGTTTCAATTATGCAACACAAAATAATAAGATTTAAAATTCACAGTCTATATTAACCAAATGCGATGGTTGTCACATATATCATTTTTGACTTACGTAAACACGGTCACTGTGAATTCGTAAAACTCACCTAAAATAAGGAATGGCATCGATGCTACAACATTAATAAAAGGTACACCACAGTAGCTCATCAGTCCGAGAGAAGAGACAATAGCCAGCCCAGCAGACAAGACGCCAAGCTGACCCAACATCGGTTTACTTCGCACCCAGTCTGCCATGATGCAGCACACAATGGAGAACGTTATCAATAACGTAAATGTAATGGTGAAGAGAGGAAATACACTAGTAATGCTTGCTTCCAACTCTAGTTCAAGTGTCTGTGAGGTGTAGTAGGCCACATCAATATTGTCCGATTCGTACACGAACATTGAGTTCATGAATTCTAATTCCCACATATCGCTCTGCAATTCGAGTTCCTCGTCACCCGACTTTAAAAAATAATGCAATTGTATAGCCAAAGCAGATTTCACTGTCTCCTGGTCGCTGTAAAACGCCACACCGCCGAGAGCACCGCCGATGAATATCTGTCCTGTCGTAGGATATGTTATGTTTATATTGTCCGCATTGGTTGAGGAAAAATTATACAGACCGATTATATCATTCAAACTACACTGATCAAGCCACTTTGCACATAGATCATTGTCGAATCGAAGGGTTTCACCGTCTACCGTAATATTTATGTCAACAATGAAATCATTCACTTTGATGACTTCACTAAATATACCTTCACGCAATACGTTCCCACCATCGGAAGCAGTAATTATCACACGACCAAAACGACCAAGGTTGTTCAATCTGGCGCTGTTAAATTGGGTAGCGTCATCGTTTGGAAAGAGTTCGCCCAACCGAGCTCTGTCGCTTTGGGCGCGGCTATCCGCGGGGGCAAATAGATATTCAGGATCAGTCTCATTCGTGAGAGTCAGCAAGCCAGCTCCTAGTGCGGCCGCCACGATCAGAGGCACCACGACGAAAGGTATTGGGTGCCTGGCTATAAATTTGCCGTACTGATAGAATAGGCGACTCAGCCGCCGCTCTACGCAATCGCATCTACAGTCACAATAGCACATGCTGTAAATTCGGTAGTCACGACCTTACCTAAATATATGGCGTGTTTTTTCTGTCGCTGTGTCGTATACTGCTTCCCTCTGCTTGTTATGGGAGCAACACTGTTTACAGCTAGCATTCTTGTCGCATTTGACTAGGACACGCATGCGCATTTTTACTAAAGCTCATAAATTATGTATTAGTTGAGATGTATTGTACTATGATGTAATAGCCTCGTCCCACACAATACAAACTGCTCAAAATTAAAAGTGCTCTGGTAATCGCATATCGTAATTGTCTGATACATGCATCCTATCAAGTTAGTATTTTCATTTTCATTTGTGGAGTTTTAGAAATTGTCCTGATGCTAAAGTCATGTTTATCGCAATTGACATATC